CATAATCTACACAAGTTTTTAAAACTGCGAATCCACCAGCAAGAGCCAGCGTGGTGCAGCAGTCAGAGTGCTGGGCCCAGACCTAGGAGATCTGGGTTCTAGTCCCCACCCAGCCATGAAGCTCACCAGGTGACTTTAGGCCAGTCCCTGACTCTCAGTTCAGCCTACCTCACAGGGTTGTTGTTGTAAAGATTAAATGGAGTAGAAGAGGACTATGTAAACCACTCTGGGATCCTCACAAGAGGAAAAAAGACAGGAAATGAATGTAATGATAATAACTGCTCTCACAATATCGAACTCTTCTGCCATGAAACATAGAATCAGCGAGTCAGAAGGGTTCTCCTGGGTCATCTAGTCTGACCCCCGGCTCCAGCCGGCTCCACTCATGACATGAAAACCTCCCAGGAGCGCCACTTGCTCTCTGGAAGAAACAGGGTTGAAGAAACAGATCTCTTTCAGCCCAGGGATGGGCTGGGTTCCTGCCATGGGCGGAGCTGAAGGCCAAGGGGTGGGGCCAGGGGCGGGGCTAAACTTACAGAACAGACCAGGCCATTTCGGCTTTAAAATCTTACTGTCCGGGAGCGGCTGCAGGCGCTGGTGACACCTCGTACCCTACTAGGAACTTTCCCTGAATTACACTTTGTTCTCCAGAGCGAGATGCCGTTTTTCTGGTCCCCACTCACATTGCACGCCGAGCCGCTTCACAAAATGAGCAGCCGGGCAGCCCTTGGGCTTCAGATGCAAAAACCTCTCTGACAAGTGCTCATATTTCCACCCCATCAATAATCATGGCAGAATCTCCGTGCCGAGCTACTTCCGCCTTAGGAATTACCATCTAATCAGGGTTAATAACTCTCAGTGGCTTTTCTGATCGCCTTTCTAGCCGGGGCGTGCCAGGAAATGGCCTTGCATTCCAAATCATTCATATCGGTTAAAAGGGAGCGTGCTTATTCCTCAGCCTCTCCGGCCAGTCCGTGCCCTGCCCCTCCTGCAAGGTATTTCTGTGCAAAACAGCAGTCGAAGGGCCACAGACAAGAATTTTGGCCGAGAGGATAGGGAGGGCCATCTCTTTGCAGCCTTGTAAAGGGAGCAGCAACACAACTTAGCTGCAGACCAAATCCAAGAAACAAAGGAAAAGAGCCAAAGGTAGGTCTCTGTCCCCGAGAGCTTACAAACCAAGTGAAAGAGGTGTGTATTCCAAAGCAGGAGTGGGAAATTCAAGCCTGGCATTTCCCAGAGAGCCACGCTCCCTTCCCTCAGCTACTGATGATCGGATCGTTTCTGCGGGGGTGGTTTATATTCAGAAATGCCTCCCCCCGAGACACAGTTTCTGGCAGGAGGCTGGTACATGGTGTATGTTTGGCCCCACCCCTTTTGCCTTTGGCCACGCCCCTTTCCTTCAGCTCCGCCCACCCCTGGCATGCAGCCCCAGGGGCCCCTCCCTGGGCTGAAAGAGGCTGCCCATCGCTTCTGTAGGAGCCCATGGAGGAAAACTAGGAGGCACCGGGTGGACATACAGGGGGCGATTTCTGGGTTTGCAGCTGTGCTTTTTCCATAACTGACACCCCAGGGGGAATCTATGGAATGTGCTCCCCAGAGAGGTCCGCCTGGCGCCGTCGTTACTTGTTTTTCGGCGCCAGGTGAAGACCTTTTCATTTAAACGTCATTTTAATTGTTAACAGTATTTGCTTATTTATCTGGCCAGGGCGACTTCTTTTATATTTTATATTTTTTATTTATTTTATATTGTTAATTTTAATTGTATATTGTTATTTTTGTATTTTATTGTATTTTATTGTGTTGTAAGCCGCCCCGAGGCTTCGGCAAGGGGCGGCATAGAAATGTTCTAATAAATAAATAAATAAATAAACTCCCCCTCCCCAGTTTTCAGGGCAGTCCTGGACTCAACCTCACAGAGCAACTGGGCAACGCAACAAGCCCCAAAACTAGGTTAGGTGTAAAACAATGGGAAGGAAAAAATAATCAGTAGGTTCACTGTGGCTTAATATCATATACCTTCTCACCAAGCTGATGTGAACATCAGAGCTTCAAACCCTTGTAAATGACCGTGATGTGAACAGGGAACTGTTCTTGTCGGGTCCTTTTTATATTTGGGAAGTTCGGAAAGCGTTTTCATTTTTATTTAGCGAGAACCCAAGCCGGAAATCCATCTCCAGGAATATCCGTTGCTTTGCTCCTCCTTCCAGATGAATCCTGATTTCTGAGTTTGGGAAGAGGACAGTTGCCGGAGGTTGGAAGCAAAGATGCTCTTATTGGGAACAGAGGAAAACAACACTGGGACAGGGGGAGAGAGGCTGCTCCTACTGGATGCCACGCGCTCTCTGGATCCCAAAGTGTGACTTACTAGTTAGTTATCTCATACAGACTGCTCCTGCAAGAGCTAAGATTGCCTTAGCCAAAGAGTCTCCCCATCCCTGCGCTTTCTTTTTGCTGCTTATTATCCAGCACTGTTTGTGTCTCTTTCATAATTGCATTTATTTATCTATTTGAAAGATCGCCACCCTTCAAGCTGAGTATTTCCAGGGCAGCTGAACCATGGAGGCCCAGAATCTGGCTACTTAGGGCTCTGCTCACTCTTTCCTTCAGCACTTTTACACCTTCCCAACGCTTCCTCACAACCTTGAGGGCTAGAAACATGATTCCTTAAAGAAAAATAAAGCTAAGATTCTCCAGTTCTCCAGGGATAGCATACCCTGCATGCCATCGCTGCACGGTGGATTCCTTCTAACAATACAATCAAATAATTTTAGGTCAGACCAGGTTCATGGACAGGAGAATCCACTAAAAGCCAAGCCATATTCCCTTCCAGCTCCCGCTTTTTAAGACCCTAAAAACATTCAAAGGGGGGCTGGAAGTGTAAGGAGAGGAACAGCGCAAGGCTGCTTTATCCTTCCCCTTCCAGCCATTTTCCCATTCAAGAGACATCCCACACAGCTGAAAAAAGGGTCATATGAAATTCAGACACCTCCTGTCCAAACCACGCTGGGCTTGGATAGAGCCTCAACCATCCTGTTTGGGGTTTAAAAAGTAAACCTTAGAGAAGGGGCACCAGTGCTGACACGCCAAGTCTGTGCTGGACCCAGCTTTGATGGCCGGTGCATGTTGTTGCTGTTGTTGTTGTTGTTGTTGTTGTTGTTGTTGTTATTATTATTACAACATTTCTATGCCGCCCCTTGCCGAAGCCTCGGGGCGGCTAACAACACAATAAAATACAATACAATACAAAAATAACAATATAAAATTAAAATTAATAATATAAAATAAAATAAATAAAAAATATAAATGATATAAAAGGAGTTAGAAAAGTTAAGAAAAGAAAAGAAGAGAAGAGAAGAGAAGAGAAGAGAAGAGAAGAGAAGAGAAGAGAAGAGAAAAGAAAAGACGCCCTGGCCAGATAAATAAGTAAATATTGTTAACAATTAAAATGACGTTTAAATAAAAAGGTTTCTCAAATGAAATATGTTTTTGTTCTGTTTCCCAAGCCCATGCTTAATCAAATGACTTTTTTGCTGCAGACACCGCAAAGCTCTTCTCTCTCCTGCACTCTGCATGCCACAAGATAAAGGGAACTGAGAAGGAAACACACACACACACACACACACACACAGTAGATTCAGACAACACAGTACCCACACTCCAGTACTGAACATAGGTTGTGTGTGGGTTGTACTCCAACCATGGTTTCTTACTGAAACGGTGGTTATCAAGTCCTCCAGACCCGCTTTCACTAACAGGCCCTGGCCCCTTAACCACAAACAGCCCACAGTTTGTTGATGGGTTGCTAACTGAGGGTTGCTCCCCAGTTTGCTATCTTGGCTGGGTTCAGACAACACACCCACCCACGGTTCAACAATAACCGCCCCTCAACCTGTGGTCTGAACCCAGTGATCAAGTTCTCTCAAATCGCAGCAAAGCCAGCCCCTAAGACCCATAACACAGAAACCCATAACACAGAAAGTGAATCAGAAGCGGCCTCCCAGGCCATCTAGTCTGACCCCTGGCTCCAGTTGGCTCCACTCACAACATGCCCACCATGTGCATGTCCAACCTATCCTTGAACACCCTCCCCGATGGGGCCTCAGCCACCTCCCGTGGAAGCCCATTCCACACCCTCAAGGTCCCGACTGTCAGGAAGTGCTTCCTGGCATCTAAATGGAACCTGGGTTCCCTGAGCTTTGCTCTGTTGGAGCATGTCCTGCCTTCCTCTGCAGGGGAGAACAGGTCTCTCCCCACCTCCGTGTGACGCCCCCTCACACACCTGAATGTCGCCAACAGGTCCCCTCTGAGTCTCCTCTTCTCCAGGCTGAAGAGACCCAGTTCCCTCAGTCTCGCCTCATACGGCATCCCCTGCAAACCGGCCACCAACCTTGTGGCCCTACGCTGCACTGACTCCAACCTGGCTATATCCTTCCTGTAATGAGGGGCCCAGAACTGAGCACAATACTCCAATTGCAGGCACACCAGAGTCGCGTAGAGTGGCAGTAACACCTCTCTCGATCTAGAAGCCACACTTCTGGCTATGCAACCAAGAGTGGCGTTCGCCCTCTTGGCCACCGCATCACACAGCTGACTCATGTTCAGCCTGCAGTCAACCAGCACCCCGAGGTCCCTTTCACAAGTGCTGCTCTCCAGCCACTTGTCCCCTAACCTGTACTTATGACGCCCATTCCTATGCCCCAAGTGCAAGACCTTGCACTGATCCGCATTGAACGCCATCCTGTTGCCCCCTGCCCACACAGTCTGCCCAGATCCTTCTGGATCCAGAGCACCTGCCCCCATTTGCCATGAAGCTATCAAACACCCCTTCCCCAGACTGGCATGCAGTGGAGCCAAACGGGTCTCAGCCATGTGAAGCACCTCCAGATGCCCCCGGATACTTCCGCAGGCCTGTTTTGCCTGCGCACTAATAAGAATGAGATTTCCCTTGCCAAATCCGTTTCCCAAGAAATGGAAGCGCGACAAGGATGGGTTCTACTCACCGAGGCCCTGGTTCTGCTGCTCCCACTCAATTGTGCTGGGCATCTGGTAAGACGCTCCCGAAAGCTCCACCGCGGAGCTCTCAACCCCTTCCAAGGATTCCCGCAGGGGCTGCCCAGGCACCGTGTAACTGGACAGGCTGGCGTCCCCCTCCAAGCTTTCATCCATAGAGTCCGGGTCTCTGTCATCATCATCTTCATCATCATTATCTTCCTCTTCTTCCTCCTCATCATCATCGTCAGGTTCCTCCTCCTCTTCCTCCTCCTCTTCCTCCCCCTCCTCTTCCTCTAGACAGGCAGAAAAAAAACCCCAGATGGCAAAGATGCACATGACTTTTTCATGGCACAAGCAAAACCCTATGAATTGGATTTGTACACCCGCCTTCCCTGGTGCTGAGCGATGCCAGATTCGCTCGCTCGCTCCCTGTTTCTCTGCTTTTGCATCCCTGGAACACTTTCATTTCTCTCCAGGCACCTCACGGCCACCTCTGGAAAGCGCCACGCACCCAGATGAAAAGGGAGTAGAAATTGGAATGCCTGTCCCAAATCTAACACCAAGCAAGTGCACACTTTATTATGCTGCCTGGTGTGAGCTAAAGCAATTGGCTGGGGATGCTGGGAACCAGAGTCCTGCACACGGGAAGAGCAACAGGTTGCAGAAAGGTTGTGTAAGCAGAAGTTGCTGTTTGGCCTTTTCTGCCTTGCTCTCCAGACCAGAGGCAGCCCCGGGACTCCCTCAGCCGGCCAAGGACCAGCACAGCAGCCCTGGGAGTTGCAGGATTACTACCCCAATCTATTGCAGCAGCCAGGGCCCTCAGGAGCCCCACCTGGGAGCCCTGGGGGAAGAGCTATATAAGAACTGGCTCTTTCCCCCAGAAGCTGCCTTGGCAATGCAGGTTCTGAGTTGCAGAAGTGCTCCTGGAATTCTGCTGGTCCTCCGGGACCCTGCCTAGGGCGAATAACCAGTAATGAAAAATCTACTCTACTAAGCAGTTCTGATTGAAATAAACTTTCTGGTTACCTGCTGGCTTGGAGACTTGTCTCGGTACATCTCAGTGGATTAGGTGAGATTACTAGACACAAGCCAAATTTGAAAACGAGGTGGCCATCAGCCAAAAGTTTTACATGCGTGTTAAATTCTACCCTCCTCGGCTTTATTATTGTCTCAAAGTACCGTCTTCTCTAGCAACTCAAATCAGAATGTCCAGACACCTTGCCCTGTGCTCTTTTCTGCTCATCTTAAAAGATAGGTAGAAGATTCATGGCTTCTCTACAGGCAAAAATTGTGCCCCATCTCTAAGACATAACAAGGGGCACAAGAAAGAGCAGATACCAATATTGCGTGGAACCATGGCGTGAGAAGAAAGGGCTAGCATGCACCCTACAGCTCCAGGAGTTTCTGTTTGCAGCAGGGAGGTACACAACTCCAGGGGACACGCAGAGCACCAAGGCTGCCGGTGCACGCACGACCCCCATCTGAGCGCTTCAGTTCAAATTTAGTCAGCAAACGAGAGAAATCCAGCACTTTTGGCTCCCTGTTGGAGTGCCAAATTTCCCTCCTTTTCACATTTCTTTTCAAGGTGGTGGGGAAGAGAGGGGCTGCAGTTGGGAAGGAGGTGGAAGGGGATGGTGTTCAACTCATGGACTACATGTGGCACACCCCCAGTCCGCTCCGAGAGGCAGGGGCTGCGTTCAGACAAGGCAGTAACCCGTGCAGAAGGGCTGAGTGTGCGTTGCCATTGAACCATGGGCTCCGTTGAAACCAAGACTATTGTGCTGCCTGGACGTAGCCAAGGGAACAAACCATGGTGGACAACCCACAGTTCACAACCCAACAACAAACCATGGCTTCTCTTCACAGGCTGATGGTTGAACAAGCCATGGCTTGTTGGTGCGGCTGGGTTCAGACAACACGATAACTTGTGCATGAGGATGGCTCTCCAGGTGTCTAAGGAAGCCCCAAAGCAGCATCTAAAGCAACCTACCTAGAGAGGCTACAGACTGAACCTTTGGAAGCCAACACATTTGCTGTGTTCCTGAGTTGTGGTTCCTTCCCTAAAAGTTCAGTTCTGGCATTGAACAATATTTGTTGGGTTCCAGCAGACTTGAAGAAAGAACCTCCTGCTTTTTTCCTTCAGGGGAAGATAGGCTATGGAAGGCGTGGGAGACATGTTGTTGGTTCCCAGTTCCCATCAGCAGCACCCAGAGGAACCAATGCTCCAGGATGATGGGAGCTGTCATCCAACAATGTCTGGAAGGTGAGATTTATGCTACCACTAGTCTAATAGGGAGTGTAAATCAACATAATAGAGCCTGCAGAAAAAATGTTCTGCTCTTGTTGTCATTCTCAAAATCCATTGTTACAACTTCTTTTTAGAAATTGCTAATTTATTTTATTTTCTTGGGCTCCAAGATCGGGGGCTGCAGCCAAGAAATTAAAAGACACTTGCTCCTGCGGAGGAAAGCGATGGCCAATCTAGACAGCATACTAAAAAAGCAGAGACATCGCCCTGCCAACAAAAGTGCGTATAGTCAAGGTGATGGTTCTCCCAGTTGCAATGTATGGCTGTGAAAGCTGGACCATAAGGAAGGCTGAGCGCCGAAGGATTGAGGCCTTTGAATTGTGGTGCTGGCGGAGACTCCTGCGAGTCCCTTGGACCGCAAGGCCGGTCAGTCCTAGAGAAGATTAACCCTGGCTGCTCTTTGGAAGGCCAGATGCTGAAGATGAAACTCAAATACTTTGGCCACCTGATGAGAAGGAAGGACTCCCTGGAGAAGACCCTGATGCTGGGAACAATAGATGGCAAAAGAAGAAGGGGGCGGCAGAGGATGAGGGGGCTGGAAGGAGCCACTGAAGCAGTTGGCGTGAGCTTAAGTAGACTCCGGGGGATGGTGGAGGACAGGAAGGCCTGGCGGAATGCTGTCCATGGGGTCACAATGGGTCAGACACAACTTCACAACTAACAACAACAACAACTTATCCCAAGCATTTCTAACCCAAGTCTTCTGCCAAGGAAGTTCTTGGTCTCTTAGTAGCCTCCACTGAGTATGTGGCACTTATATCTAAGTTTGGCATGAGACCGGCCTGCACCGATACAAATAAAAATAAAGGTATGTTTCCACTGAAGTCAAGTATTTTCAAATCCCATTTATCGCAAGAGGGGAACACTAAGAATCAACCCAAATTGTGCTCCACGTTTCCGGACCAAAAAAAGTAGAATGACAAATGAAATACTCATGTCCAGAAACTCCCACCAAACAGTTTCATGGTTGGCTGGAACTCCATATTGGTGGACATTCCCAAGATGTGGAATAGCCCTGACTTCCTTAAAAGCACTTTGTCCTAACCCAGAACTACCCGCTAAAATTTCTCGGCAATTGAAAGGATGGAAACGCTGCCATCTGTCGGTCTATGGGAGGAATGGAGTCTTCTAGAAGGTTTGAGGACAAGCTTTTATTCTCATATTTAATTTTTCTTGGTGCTAGTTTTGCCGGAGAGCAAAAGACACTCCTTCATCCGGCCGGCTTTGAATGCTGCAGCAGATCAGAATAAAGTTTCCTGGGAGAGACGCCAGTTCAGAAACCCATCAACACATTAATGATAACAGTCCGATTGGAATGGTGGTTATATAAAAAGGGAACAAGCAGGCAGCCTGGTTGAAATGGAGACTCTTGACTGGAAGAACAAGCAAGTATTCTTGATTCATAGCTTGTTGTTCCCCTAAGGCCTCGGACAGGTAATCAGCTTTTATTAAAAGAAAGCGAAACACCTCTGCTGTTATAAAGAGAATGAAACCGCAAGCTGACAGAGCTCCAGGGCTGAAAGAGGCTGGGTTGGCAAGTGAAGGGTGCCACCGCCATGAACTCCTGAATGGGCCTCGGGAAGCTGTGGTCTACCTTGCAGGGCTTGTGTAAAAACTGCAGAGGCAATGGGCATGCGGCATTTTGAACGCTTAAAAGCTACAGTGCTAAGCTTTATCTGTCATTTAGTTATCTGTCAATTTATATCCTGCCTTTTTCCTACAAGGGCTCAAGGCAGCTTACATCTCCTCCTCCATCTTCTCCCCACAACAACAACCCTGTGAGGTAGGTTGGGCTGAGAGTCTGTGACTGGCCCAGAGTCACCCAGTTGGCTCCATGGCCGAGCGGGGACTCGAACCCAGGTTGTCTGAGTCTCAGTCCTGTGCTCTTAACCACCACACCACAGCTTAAGTTGTCAGTCTGCTCATGTTCAATCACCAAAAGGGTTCGAAAACTGCACCCGTGCAGAATCTGTTGATCTTGCCTTGTTGTGCCCCTCTGCTCCAGCTGGACGATGACCAGAACGATGACCTCCAAGAACGATGACCAGATTTCTTTCCTCACTTGTAACCAGTGCTTTTTTTGTCATAGAACGCACCAGAACAGAGTTCCGGCACCGTTTTTTGACAGATTTTCCAAGTTTGAAAAGTGACTTTTGAAAATTGGATGTTTGGTCCACGTGGATTTGAATCACCCTGTCCAGCGTAGCAGGTTGGCGGCAAAATCATTAAAACGGTGCATGTGGGCTGCTTGCGTGTCGAGTCCGATGCGTGCGCGCTTCGTCCGCGCTGGTTGTGATGGCGCGGCTCGGCTTGTGTCTGGTCGTGTGGTCACATGCCGAGCACTTACTGTGGGTGGCGACCATTGTTTCATTACACAACTGACGTGTGTGGGTGTGTGTACAGTGATTGACTACATGCGAAAGGTAAATCATTTCATGAGTTCCGGCACCCTTTTTCTTACAAAAAAAGCACTGCTTGTGACTCTTCCTTTTTAAGAGGGCATGCCCCAGGGAAGAGGACTGGGGCTCTCTGCGTGGAGAAATCATTTCCTGCCGCAGGCGTATGGGCCATCTGGCGGATCTGGGCACTGCGGTCCTGGTCCAGAACACTTGGCTCCACAGCTTCCCTTCATTCTAGGCCAGGGATCTCCGACTTCCTGCCCAAAAGATCCGTGCGCCCACAGACACTTCTCTCGGTGCCTGCCTGTCCTTATTTTGCCTCTTGGCTTTTTTAAGAACAAGACTGGGAGGCTGGCGTGCTAGGGGGGAAGCGCCTCCTCCCGACAGAACCAGGAATTGGCTCTGTGTGGTTTTGTGCCCTAGAGTTCCAGCCACACCTTTGTTCTTGAACCCGAGCCTTGCCCTGCTGGAGGACATCCTCTACGGGGAAACCCGAGCTCCCGCAGATGGATGTGACTGAGCCATCTGTGGCAGGAAGCCAGGGGGATTCTGGGTCTTCGGGAGCGATGGCTGCAGGGCCATCCCAGTCAGGCGGAGGGAACCCCGTCCAGACGATGCGCAGCCCACTGGTCCCAAAGGGCTTTATCACCTCATGCAGCAGGCCTGGGAGGCTCCGGTGAGGAGGGGCGCTTGTGTGCAGGAAAGGACTCCTCAAGAGAAGGCAGCTCCTCACAACTCGGGCTCTGGCCAGAGGCTCCTCATAGGACTGCATCTGAGCCTTGAGCCGAGCTCCACAGGGTCTGATGTTCGGTATCTGCTGCAAACAGTGCTGTCCTTCAGCTCCAGAGCTCTCTACCTTTTTTCTGGACCGTGCCTGGATGAATCGATGTCCCTGCCCCAACCCTTGGACTCCTGCTTGATTCTGCTTCTGCACCTGCCTGCTTAGCTGCACCTGTGCCCTCAGAGGTCCCCCTCCAGGAGCCGTCCTTGAAAGAGTTTAAGAGGGTGACTACCTGGAGGAGGGCCTTCTCTGTGGTGGCACCCTGACTGTGGAACATGCTCCCCAGAGAGGTTCGCCTGGCGCCAATGCTTCTATCTTTTCAGAGTCAGGCAAAACCCTTTTTATTCTCCCACTATTTTAATTGTTAATTTGTTTTAGTGGAGGGTTTATATTTTAACATTGGATGCTGCGCAACTGTTGTTGTTATTCTTGTCTTTGTTTTGTTATTGGACTAATTTACTGTAAACCATCCTGAGACTTTTAAGTATGGGATGGTATAGAAAAGTTTTAAATAAATAAATTGTACTTTGACCAGCCCTGCACCAATCCCGATCAGGCTGGAATCTTCTTTCCCATGCTCGACCCTCGACAGGAAGCAAACTGAGCCGTGTTCAAGACTGCAAACACTCAGAAACACTAGCAATTTCTTTGCATAAGTAAAGCTCACAAGTCATGTGCATATGAGCAGAACTCCGCTTGAACCCGCTTCCTGCTGGACTCCCACATGAACACTCAACGGGAGGTCAACTCAGGGAAGAGGGAAAACGACCTGGAGTCCAGGGAGCCAAGCTGAGGAAATCCAACAGATTCCCAGTCCCAAACCTCATTCTCCTCATTCCTCCCTAAATTCTGACCTTGCTTTTTGGGTTGTCCCTTAACTCAAAGCCTGCCTTAGTCAAAGCAGGGCCTCAAATTTATGTTTGCCTTCCTGGATATCAGTGCTCTGTGACTAGCCACGATAGTCGTCTTAGCACCAGGGAAGCCTCCTTTGGTAGCCACTTTGTGATAACATCTACAACACTCTTCCAAAACTCCAAACGTGCCCAGGGGCTAAAAGGAGGGGCTCCTTTCAGTCTTTGCTGGCCATTTTCAGTGCAAACCAGACAAGGAATTTTGGCCTGGCTTCTAGCACTGGGAAGGGCGCAGCTTCTTGCACTCCAGCTTCTAACGGTGGTGGAAGATCGCATGGCGAAGGTACCTTCAGATTCCAGCCTGTCCAGCTCGTAGGTTGCAGCCGTGGTCACCGGGTGGGCAGCTGGCATGGCAGTCCTCCGTGTGGAAGACGCCAAGGACGGTGGCGCCGCCACGGCTTCGGTCGTGCCGAGGACCCCCTCGGCCCGCATCCCTGATTCAGCCGGGGTGGTGGGCGCATCGGTGACGGAGGGACCTTCGCTCTTTTCCAGAGCTGTGCCAGGCCCTGCAAGAGGAAGGGGAGACGGGGAAATGACATGCCTGACCCAGAGACGATGATCCCAGTCCGCACAATCTATTGCAAGCAGCAATGAAGGCACCATCGCTATGAGGAGAGAGAGATTATTTTGCACTGCTGTTGGGAAGGAAAACATTCTCCCAAAGGAGCTGTTCTAACTGAAAGACCTCCAGGTTTGCTTCACTGAATCAAAGCATTGTGTTTTGCGCAGCGGGCAACCAGGTGGGACTTTGCAGAAGTAGCACCGTCTGCCCAAGTTGCATGACTCCGGCATGCGCTGTTCAAAGAGGGACTGCGCTGGAACATTCAGTTCTCTTTAGCAATCACAGCTAAGGTCACGAGGAAAAGCCCAGCCCAGTCAGGCTGGGGTCACAGGAGTGGATGTTGCACCCGGCCCGTCGTCGATTGGTGATATTTAAATACCATTTTTCACCTGCAACAAATCCGATAGTGAAACAAAGGAATGAAAATGAAAACATCCCAAACAGTGGGAAGATTGTAGCTCATAGTAAATGTCATTTCACGTTTAATGACATTGTATTAAATGTCCTGCTCTAAAGAGCCGCAGAGCAAGCCTCATGGTCAGTGCCACTACCAGGACCAGCTGCAGAGATGACCCCAAGACTCAGATGGGTCTGCAGAGGCAAAGACAGTCCCTCAGAGAACCAGCTCAGATAACATGCATTGACACCCTGGGTTGTTTCTCCAATCATGGCAAGCAACCCAGGAAGAGGGCATTTCTAGGTTGTTTAGCAAGATGGAAGCCACTGCTCACCAACAACCCATGGTTTGTTGACACTGGGTTATTTGATCGTGTGAATCAGGTCATTCTGGGCCCACTGGTGTGTCTCAGTAGCCCACTGTGACTTAATTGAGCCATGGGATCGTTGTGTTGTGCTGGATGCTCATGGGTGCTCTTTTTGCCTGGCACCCCATGGGTGCCTAGCTTGCCATGAGTTATCAGGTACTATGAATCCAGGTTTCTCGGTTTATTTGAGAAAGAACCACCCTCAAATAAATCATGGCTTGTTGTACATTTATACAAAGGTTGTTTCCCCCTCATACAGGCTAAGTCAGGCTAACGTGACACAAAATCCTGGGCAGGTAATTCAGGCAGTGCCCAGCAGGCATGGATGCATTCAAAACAAGGTGCCGGAGAATTGGTTTGCCAGTACCCTGGACCAACAGAAGGACCAACAGGTGGGTCCCGGATCACGTCAGGCCAGAATTTTCCCTAGAAGTAAAAATGACCAAGCTGAAGCTTTGGACATTGCAAGAGAAGACAAGACTCCCTGGAGAAGGAAGACCACCATGCTAGGGAAGATTGAAGGCAGAAGAAAAGGAAGGCCAGCTCTGAGATGGATCAATTCCATAAAGGAAGACACAGCTTGAATTTGCAAGAACAAATTCTTTTTAAATGTATTAAATTAAATTAAATTAAATTAAATTCTTTGAATTTAAAGTCAGGATGTTTAGAGGGCTTTCAATCCTAGGGTTGCTCTAAGAAGGAGATGATTTGATGACCTGGAACCACCACAACAAAATCACCTTCTCTTCTCCATGCATAATTGTGTGTGCCTTTATCATTTTCCCCTCACTCACCTTTTCGCTTAGCAAGGCAAGCTCAGCTATTGCAATCTTTCCCTGGAGGGCAATCGTTACCGGCCTTTAATTATTCTGGTTGCCATGTTTCCCAGCTGCACAAAAATCACTTCTTGCAAAGCTGTTCTTTCATCTGGTAAAAAACCAGAACTCTTTGGGAAGCACAAAACGTTGAGCCCAGAGAAATGTCTTTCCTTCCACATGGCTAAAATCCTGAGTCAACTTGCTAGGAGCAAACTCATCCTGTTAGAAATCTTAGTAATTTGGTAGCAAAGGACCCTCGGTGCACCTCACACTGCCTTCCTGCAAATGTCAGAAATGTGACATGACAAGTCGCTTGCCCAGGTTTGCTGAATAAATTCCTCCTTCCCTGGAATAAGAGCTGTTACCACATCTCAGACTATCTCAGGGGTTACCAAACGACAAGCCTTCCTCCAGTCTGCAGGCCTCCAGAAGCGCTGGGCCACAGAAGTGCTGCCAGCATCTCCCAGTCAGCCATTTGGTTTGAGGGATGCTGGCAGGATCGGGGTTGAGAAAGCTGTCCTACAGAAGCAAAGCAATTAGCCTGCTGCTATTCTGATGCGTTAGAGGAGGTGTTCTGGAGACACGCCATGATGCCCCAGTCAACACGTTAATTGTTTCCTGCAGACATAAAGACAGGTCCTTGTTTATTTGACACTCTATTATGTTCTGCTCCATTAAGGATGGACGGATTGGTCTGTTTCCAGTCCATGTCACTTTCCCATCCCATTTCTGCAACTTGGTGCTGGAGGGATCTAAATCTGCATGAAATGATGTATTGGAATAGCATGCCTTTTCTCACATTTCTAAAGTATTTCCTCCCAGTATGCATTTTGAGGAATGCGGGAATGCTACTGTGCAGACGGAGGGTTCCTTAAAGTGTTTTATATAGAAATACACTTGTTTAAAGGATATGTTTTGGTACATTTTTGGAGCCTTGTGAAATCTGAAGAGGAGGAAATTCTGGAGAGGTGCTCTATCCCTGCTTCCTGCACTAATCCGATCAGACCGCTTTGAAAGGCAGATTTTATTTATTTATTTATTAAAACAGTTTTATGCCGCCCCATTCGCCGAAGCCTCGGGGCGGCTTACAACAAATAAGATTTGTGGCATCGGCATGCAATCCTGCACTTTACAGGCATCTGGATGGGGGGATGGAGGGATGGATTGCTTTTTAAGCATCTTTGTACTGCTTTTTGTAATATATATCCTATGGAACATGGTGGGACAGAAGGAGAGCTTTCCAATCCCTTGGAGCAGCAGACAGCCCAACCAGTGGGTCTTGGGTCAAACCAAGCCAGAACTTTCCCTGGAAGCAAAAATAACCCAACTGAGGCTGTGGCCCTTTGGCTACATCCCGAGAGGGTGTGTTGCCCTGGCTGTGAGTGTTCAGGGGTGTTGTTGTTGTTGTTGTTTCTTTTTGATCCCCAGAGAACGATACTCCAACTCCAGCTATACTAAGAAGGAGATTATTTGTTATTGCAATAACACCAAACAAACTAGTAGCCTGCCGTAACATTTAGCAGCAAGCCTCTTACATGGCACAGCGAGGGCTCCTGCAAGGTAGGACTCCAAGCAGCTGGATCCAGATAAAAAACAGCAGAATCCCCCTTGGAAAGACTCTGAACCAAAGGAAGTGGCTAACATGAATACGTTACAAACATGTGGTATGGTAACGCATGCGTACGGCGTTCTACACAATTAAAAGATTTATTTACTAGAATAATACTGTTTATTCCTTAGCACCTGTGAGCGAGTAAGGCATAATCCTGTCTGGATGGGCCAGGTTCCTTCTCCGTCTGACATCAAAGCATCGGCATGACCACTTCTTGCTTGCAGAAGGAATGCCTGATCAGGGATGTCAAGGCTGCAAAGGAGCAGGGTCCTTATCAGAGAAAGGGAAACTTCTTAGCTCCGTGAAAGCAGACTGTCGGGGTCAGCAGATCATGGGCTGAAGCTCTGTTGTACAACTGCAAGCCACTCAAGTTTAATGCCAAGCAAACAAGCCTTCTAAAGAGCCCGAGCCCCCGGCCTGGCTCTGTGGGGTTCAAGCCTGTTACAGAAGGCCAGACTCCCTGGAGAACCATCCTGCTAGGGAAAGCTCAAACCAGAAAAAGAGAGGGAGGACCAGCCATGAGATGGGTTCAATTTCCAAGGTTCTGTTTGGATGCCAGGAAGCACTTCCTGACAGTCAGGACCCTGAGGGTGAGGAATGGGCTTCCACGAGAGGTCGTTGAGGCCCCATTGGTGCGGGTGTTCAAGGAAAGGCTGGACATGCACATGGTGGGCATGTCGTGAGTGGAGCCGGCTGGAGCTGGGGTCAGACTAGATGGCCCGGGAGACCCCTTCTGACTCACTCTGTTTCTATGGGTTGACTCCATATAGGAAGCCACAGCCTGGAGCTTACAAGAGCCGTGTGGGGCATGGCCTGGGGGGGGGCACGCATGCGGAGGGTCACCATAAGGTGGATGCCACAAACAGCCCATTGCAGCTTCCAGTGCAGATTAAGAACAACTCATTTCCCAAACAACAATACAGGAAGCGTTAGAACACAAGGGCGATGCTGGGGAGCAAAGCGATCTGAGAGTCAAGGCACATTTGCATATGCTAATTTGCATGTGTTCTAAGTCTGCGTGCATCGTCAAGGGCCCCTGTCTCCTAAGCACACCCTGATTTGTGTAAAGGGAAGTCCAGGCATGGGAGAGGAGGGTATGTGATCCCTGGCAGCAGGGGGTAAAGTCCACGTGGCCAGAAGCTGCCTCATCCTGGGGGACCAGATGCCACGGAGACCCTCAGGGCCCCTGGACCTTTCAGCAAGGCTGGTGGGGCAAAGGCCTCCCAGAGATCTGGAGCTTCAGGTGGAAGATTCGGGGGCCCAGCCTTGAAGGCCAGCTCTGCAAGTAAAGGAGCATTCCAAAACCACTTTTCAGATGCTCTAAGGTAGTGATGGCGAACCTTTTAGAGACCGAGTGCCCAAACTGCAACCCCAAACCCACTTATTTATCGCAAAGTGCCAACACTGCAATTAAACCTGAATACTGAGGTTTTAGTTTAGAAAAAACAGCTCACAGCCAGCCCAAGCAAATATATAGATATCCTTGGCAGCGCACTGACCGGCCATGCGACAGCTCGGACGAGTCGCGGCTAATGTGTCGCAGCTCGCGACGTCATCGCCTGGCGCTGTTCCTCCTTTCCGAGCGTGCGCATGGCCCCTACGTGCGCAGTTATCCGATGCTCGGCTGCTGGGACGACTTGGTCGCGTGCCGACAGAGAGGGCCCTGCGTGCCCGCTGCGGCTCGCATGCCACAGGTTCCGTGGACTGGATAGAAGAGGACATTTGATTTCACAAAATAGCTTATTCTGCAGAAACAGTAGCAGGTGGGGAGCAGCAGAAGGAGAAACCCCTGTGAGCCCAGAGTCAGCTCATCACCTGTGTAGGTGCAGCAGAGATGTCCTGGGTCCCTGGACCTTTCTTCCATCAAGCGCCCCCAGACAGTCGGACGGAGGGACGGAGGGCCTGCTAGAGATTCGGGGCTGCCTCTCTAGTGAACTGCTCCTCAGCACTGCTAAAGGACTCTAGCGACAAGCATGAGCTGCACAATTTAAATGTCCACTGCTTAAAATGGGTGAAAACTTCTGTTCAGGCAGAGGGCTGAATTCTTCTCGGAGAAGATTTGGGGGCAGCATTTTGGTAGCCACAGGGCCAAAATGTTGGCATATTTGAGCCTAAAGCTCTTCCTGCCAGGAACTTAGCAGAGGCAGGAAAGGGAAAACCTGAAGCTGGGAACTGCCAAATGGTCAGGGGCTGGAGCTGGAGGTGGGACTATTTGGAGACCCCTGGACGGTTCGTTTTGGAGCCAAGGTCTGGGTTCTTCATCATTGCTTTAAAGAGTATAGAAGCAGCCGAGAGAACAGGAAGGAGTGGGGTGCTTTGCGTTCTTCACGAGGAGGGGAAAAGGCGGGTGCTCGCGTCGCTCTGAATGTCCTACAGAAATGGCTGCAAAACCTGGGAAGGTGACAAGGTGCTGAAAAGGACCTGCAAACTCCCACAAGCGAGCGAGCACCAGGTCACGAGAAATGCAGAGAAGCAAAAAGGAGAAAGCCCCAGTGCATTTCTGTTCAGCCTTTTTATCAACAACGTGGAGCAGGTAACCAGTCTGCTGACCAAAGTCGCAGATGATACCAAAGTGGAAACAATCGAGGAGCAGGCAGTCCAGATCCAAAGGGATCCAAAGGGATCTGGACAGCCTGAACAAGAGGGTGGGGGCAACAGGATGGCATTCCATACAGGTAAGTGCAAAGGGAAGCGCTTGGGAATCAGGAATAGGTGCCATAGGTAGAGGATGGGGGTGCTTGTGAAAGGCATCCCAGAGTACTTGTCAACAGCAGGCTAAACGTGAGCCAGCCGTGTGAGGTGGTGGCGATGCCACCCTTGGATGCAGGGCCAGAGGCATGGCTTCCAGACCTGGGAGGCGTTGATTCTGCTCTGCACCACTCCGGTGCGCCCACAACTGGAGCAACTGTGTCCAGTTCTGGGCTCCACATTACAAGAGAGACACAGCAAGGTTGGAATCAGTTCAGTGGAAGGTCATACGGATGGTAGGCAGATTTGGGACGGGGAGGGGGTGCCATGAGATGAGACTGAGTGAGCGGCATCTTTTCAGCCTGGAGAAGAGACTCAGAGGAGATCTTATAGGGACATACAGGTATGTGACAGTGGAGGGTCATGGAGGGCAGGACGCGTTCCAGTGGGGCACAGCTCAAGCAACGAGGCTTCAGGTTGGATGCCAGGAAGCACTTCCTGATGGTCAAGGCCCCTGGGGCATGGATTGGCTTCCCCGGGAGGTGGTTGGGGCCCCATCGGTGAGGGCTGGACAAGCACATGCTGGGGCTTACATGAGCAGAGCCGGCTGGAGCTGAGGTCAGACTAGATGGCCTGGGAGGGCCCTTCTGATTGGCTATACAGTAGACTCTCGACTATCCGGCTCGTGACTATCCGGCCTTCGTACTATCTGGCCTAGTTAAAAAAATAATTATTAATGCACAGTAAAATAAGTTTAAATAATTTTTGTAAGAATTAAGCCTACGTTTTACGTTAATGTTTTGTTTATTTTAAAAGTGTATGTATTCATACTGTACAGTGTACACGATTTTATGTTTCCTGCAATTAAGTTAGACATCATAAAATTTATCTTAAAATGTGTACAATATTTTTATCCTTGGACTTCCTTTTTCTGTAATAAATTTTTAAAACGTACAGTACAGTACATAACAAACATTTATAAAGTACTGGCCTGTACTAAGAGGTCAGAAAATATGAATAAGAGCAGGATTTGGTATAAAAAGGGTGTTTTTAATGGGATGGGTGGCGTAGGAAGTGAGCATTTATAGAACTCCAGCCTATCCGGCTTTTTTGTTATCCGGCCTGCCCTTCCGCCACGTTAGTCCGGATAGTTGGGAGTCTACTGTATTTCTATTTCTTCGGGACAGGAGTGGCCAAACCCTCCCCTCCCTGGTTGCTCCTTGCTTGATGGTGAAGAGAAGAGGTGGTTAACTAAAAAGGTGCAGGGAACCCTCCCTAGACGATCTTAACGTTTTGAACAGCTTGCTCTGGGAGCAAGCATTCCTTCAGGTCCCGGGTCTTCCTCCCAGCTGTCCAGCTAGCATGACCTTGCCTGCAGCTGGTCAAGCCGGGGAGTCACCTCCCCTGACACAGTCCCCCCTTTCTGGCACTGGCTCGCAAGACACTAAGAAGGATCTTTGCCTTCACCTGCTACCTGTATGCAAAGCGAGTGCCCCCCCTCCACGAAGATCTGCCCACCTAGGATGACTAGGTGTGTCTTGCACATGAAACAGCACTCTGAGAACAAAATTACGGGCTGCCCGTACCACATCCAGCTCATGCATTTATAGATTAAAACTTCCAAACCTTAAACAATTATAGACTTAAAATTTTCAATACATAAATTTAAACATCTGAAACACAGCAGAATAAAACACCTGTTTGTACTCCCAGTCGTGACCAAAACTGGTGTTTTAAACCAAACTGCTTCACTTGCTAAAACTGTTCAAAATGCACCTGTGTGTAAAATTTTAAGTCTATAAAATGTTTCGTTTAAAAAATTTAAAACCGAAAACATTGTGAACTGGATGCACCACTGCTGGTTTGTTTTTAAATTAATAAAGCAAAAAAGGAAGGAAAAAGAGCGAAGGAAAGGAAGGAAAACAAGCGAGCCACCGACCTTCCGCGTCCGGGGGGTTTGTAGCAGACAAATAGGCAGCAGGGGGGGACGCCGTGATCCCAAGGGGCCCTTCAGGGTTCCTGAGCAGCTGGGACACACTGGAGACCCGTGGCACTTGCGTTGCCAACTCTCTTTCTTCTTCAGCCGCCGTCTCTCGCTCCGTAGCCGGCTTGGGAGTGAGCCCTCCTGCTGTCACAGCACTGATTTCATGGAAGGCTGTCACAGGCCGTTGAGTAATGCCTGCTGGTGGAGGTGGGGGAGAAACAAAAGAAGAGGAAGCGTTTGTTCTGGCACGGCTTTAGGAGTGCTGCAAGCTTCTGTACATCACAGAACTCTTCCTCAGGAGGAGGATCTCAGAGCAGACTAGGTCGTGAGCAGCAAAAAAGCAGCTGTGGGATTATTCCTAAAGTGGGAAACAACATAATAGTGTGAGGGGGTCATTCGCAGAGCTACTGCAACCTTGATGTAGAAACATAGAAACGAAGTGAGGTAGAAGGGATTCCTGGGCCATCTAGTCTGACCCCTGGCTCCAGCCGGCTCCACTCATGACATGCCTGCCATGTGCATGTCCTGCCTGTCTTTGAACACGCTCACCGACGGGGCCTCAGCCACCTCCCGTGGAAGCCCATTCCACACCCTGGGGGTCCTGACTGTCAGGAAGTGCTTCCTGGCATCCAACCTGCAGCCTGGTTCCCTGAGCTTTGCTCCGTTGGAGCGCATCCTGCCCTCCATTGCAGGAAAGAACAGCTCACAGTCCTCCTCCACATGGCATCCCCTCGCAAACCTATACGTTGCTAGAAGATCCCCTTGGAGTCTCCCCTTCTCCAGGCTGAGAAGACCCCGTTCCCTCCATCTCTCCTCGTATGTCATCCCCCCCAACCCGGCTTCCACTCTTGTGCCCCTGCGCTGAACCGATTCCAACCTAGCTATGTCTCTCCTATCATGTGGAGCCCAGAACTGGACATGGTTCTCCTGCCGCGGGCACACCAGAGTTGTGTGGAGCAGATTCAGCGCCTCCCTAGAAGCCATGCTTCTGGCTGTAGCCACGCTATTGGCACACATTGTGGGAGATGCTGTGTGCAAGAAGGCACGGAGGCACATGCCGTACAGCATTGTGTAAAATGCCTCCCTTTATTTCTGATGAAATTCCGCCCTTCGTTTCTGTGTGCCTCACACGCAGGGCTTTGCTGCAGGTACTTTCTCAAAGAGATCTTTCCAAAACTGGTAACTGGGTGCACACCGGCACTTCACAGGTACACATTCCCGTGGCTGGCTTGAGGATGCATCACCGGAAATGGGGGCCACCGACACAGGAAACTGGCTTCGAACAGCACCATGTACTGCACGAGGGGCCTGCGAATTATGATCGGAAATGTAGGAACACGTTCTTGCGATTTCCCCCAAGTTCTTTGTGATTGCACAGGGATGTGGGAGTGCAGCAGGTGCTTTTTTGCACCAAAAACATTGGCCCAGCTGCACATCCTGGACGCCACGGTCTGAAGGAGAGATGTAGAACCCTGGCCAACCAACGGCGGTTGCACATCTGGCCTGCTAAGTTGCAGCGAAGGGAGAGAAAAAGCGCAGGGAGTTGGGAGATCAGTTGGAGTGAGCGCAGTCCTGTCCTGGAATGGTAGCCAAGTTTTCTCTAGTGATGTGCGAGCCCCCTCAGGCTCACCCCAAAAACCAGTCCCGTTTTTCAAGTGTTCCCACTGAACACCTGGAAGATCGCAAGGGCTTTCTGCCCCCAGGCCTTCGGCACGGTTGCTCAAAATGCGTGACTGACCAGAACACGACAGCTGGGCTAGAATCAGATCTCGCTCAGTGGCATTCACACAGAGGTGGGCAATCCGTGGCCCACGGTGTCGCAAGCCGGGGATCCTCCTTCCTGCACTGAGAAGCCAGTCTGTTTTGCTTGCAACGTGTTCTTGACTGACCAAAAAGCTGACCGAATGAATCTCTGAGTGGTTTGTTGAAGACAATCTAGTATTCACCTCCAGGAACTCTCCTTATGAGCCTGCCTGGGCCTGATCCCTTCGGGAGGGTCCTTCTGAAAGAAAGCACGCCGATCCTCTAATTCAGCCGTCCTCCTCTGCTAGGGGTGCAGCAGGTAGCCAAGAGTCCCAGAAACTCCCCTGCCCCGAGTCCCTCCCCTCCCGCCAGCTGTACACCTTGGCTATTCCCAGGGACTGCCTGCCCAACTTGGCCTTGAGGGAAGCGCCTCCGTCTCTCATCTCAGTGTCTCAGCGTGGCCCACCTTCCCAGGCTCCCTGCTGTTCTGCTTCACTTTCCAATCCCAGTTCCTCTGCACCCCCCCCCCCCGCGGCCCACAGTCCTTGAGATCAAGTGCCCAAAGCAGCCGTTTTCCCCCCTCCCAGCCCACAGGCTGCCTGCAGCGCTCAGAGCGGTTCCCGGGCTCCCAATTGCCAAGGTCACCCAGGGCTCCTCCTTCCCCTGGCAACCCTGAAACACGTACTGGAGGTCGCTGGCCCCAGCAGCCACTCCAGCGCCTAGTCTGCCCTTTAAAGGCGGAATCTGTCCTCCTGAGCCCCGTCGCCAAGTTGGGTTCGGCGCTGGAGACAGCGCCTGCAAAGTTCCTTCTGAAATCCAGAGTGGATGCACCACCTTGCTGGGTCAGCAAAAAGGGCCTTCCCGCGCTCTCCCAGCATCCCCTCAAACAGCCTTCCCCGACCCCAGTGGGGCCTGTGTGCGTGCGTACAGGAGTGTCCTCACGCAGGCGCTGATGTCGCGCCAGCTCACCTGCTGATGCCCTGGGTGGCCCTCGGAGCCAAAACTGGTCCAAAGTCACCCAGTGAGCCCCTCAGCTGACCGGGGACTTGAACCCGGGTCTCCCGAATCCAACCGTTGATCCACCCCATCACACAGCCTTGCATGGTCAGTAATGCATTTAAAAAGAAAACGAGATTTTTCTTTCGTCTGTTGGTGAAAGCCCCTGAGGACCAAAACAGCCGTTGCTTTGAAGCATGTCTAGCAGCTGTGAATTGTTTCCATTTTGACTCCAGAGTAGGTGCCGATAAGATCACAAAAGCCCCCTGCCCTAATATTAGGGTCCCAATCCAGGTAGGGGCCCTGCACCTAATCTAGGGTCAAAACGTATGGAAAAAGAGAGGTCCGCCTGGCGCCGTCGTTATTTGTTTTTCGGCGCCAGGCAAAGACCTTTTTATTCAAACGTCATTTTAATTGCTAATATTATTTGCTTACTTCGGCCAGGGCGACTTATTTTATAATGTTAATGTGTTTTATATTTTTAGTATTTTATATTTTAACTGATGTTTTGTAAGCCGCTCCGAGCCTTCGGCGAATGGGGAGGCATAGAAATTTTTAAATAAATAAATAAATAAAAAGATGTGCCTGCTAGACCCAACGTTAAAGAAATCTCTTTCTTGGCCTGTATTTTGCTTGCAAGTGTTGGGAAAATTCAGATAAACCCTGGCAGAAAGGCGTTGCTTGCATATGTGTTTGTGTTATAAAATCAAACCTGCACCCCCTTTCTCAGAAAGCTGCAGAATTCCAAGCCAGGTTACTGTTTGCATTTGCTGTTAGTTTAGGAAGTGGGAACTGATAGCTTGCCTAGAGGCTGCCAGGGCTATTGTTTTGCTGAAGAGTCAGAATTGATAAGAGTGTCAGGTTAACAGCATTGCAATCACCCTCATTTGTATGCCAAGGCTCATAATAATCCCATGATGGTTATGTGAATATCCTGCAATCAAATGGCATTGTACTGAGCCCCCTCTGCAGACCCCTCACCTTCTTCGGACTGTGCTCCCCTTCTTTCGCCATCCACTGCCCAACTGCTGGGCCCATGTGACTCACAGGCTATAAAACACTCTGTGTATGTTCTAAAAACTTGTAGTTGGCGGGGAGATCCACCACCCAGGAGCATACTTTCAGAAGTAACTGCAGGGGCCCCAGGTGATCTTTCAATAAAACTGCTGAGGCTCAAGGCGAAAGGGCTCTTTCCTGACTGAACCCGGCGATCCTGTCTCACAGCTGCCATCGAGTCTTCCCAACGGGAGAAACCCTGACAAAAATGTGCCATCTTTGCAGACAGCCGTGGCAAGAGAGCGGTTCCAGACTGCACCAAGCTGCCTCCTTCCTTGCATCTGCCTGTCTCACACGCCACTATCCTCCCATGATCCCCACAGATTGTTCCGCCTGCCCCGAAAAGCCAGAGCAAGTGATTTGCAGAGGCTTCTGTCTCAACAGTTCACCCAGGACTGGCTCACCCAACCCTCTGCCACGAGACTTTCCAGAATGCGTTTATTCTGCTCCGCTTTCTCAAAGCAGTTCTTTGGAGGACCTGCAGTGGCATATAAACAGCCAAAATAAAAATCACCCCACATGCGCCAGAGCCAGGATGCAGAAGTTTGAGCTGACTGCAAAATTCCCACCACGGATGCTCCTGAAGGTCAATGCTTCTCTCCTTTCCACGCTGGCAGGGTAATATCCCTGCTGCCCAGCTAGGGGAGTTAAATTCCCCGAAACAGAAGCATTTCCAGAATAGATGGGGAAACTGTACTCTCCCTGACTCCCAGCTGAAGCATAAGGGGAATTGCGGTCTATGCACAGTTTGCTCCAATTTCCGAAGGGACAACCGTGTGATGCTGCAGCAAAGACTTCACAGGCACGTGTCTACTTTATGCCTTGCGTGACACTAACCGCATTTTGGCAGACGCGGTTAGTATATACACCTTTCCAGAGGACTGGAGGAGAGGAAAACTGTTTTCAGAAAGAGCTGAAATGCAAAGAGAAGCAGCTACCTGTTTCGGGTTAATGTTTCATGCATCTCGTGAAGTAAACAGTGTCCATAAAAGCTTGTATGGGTTTTTTTTTTTTCTTTAAAGTGGCAATGCCGTGCCATGTCCCAAATTGTCCCAGTGCCCCCAGGAGCCCACACTTTGGTCCCTCAGGCCAGTGTGGTGAAGAGGTTAAGAGCGTGGGACTGGAACTCCGGCGATCCGGGTTCGAGTCCCCGCTCAGCCATGGAGACAACTGCATGACCTTCGGCCAGTCACTCACTCTCAGGCCAACCTACCTCACAGGGCTGTTGTTGTGGGGATAAGACTGAGAGCAGCAGCAGAAGAATAATCTAAGCTGCTTTGAGTCTGCTGCAAGGAAAAAGTGGGATAGAACGCTAATAAATAAAGAAATAAGCGCAAATCCAAACGGGGAAGCTGGATTGCCTGAGACCAGCAAATTCATTCCATGTTGTCCTGGTCCAGCTTGACCTTAGGAAGACATAGAAACTGAGCGAGTCAGAAGGGGTCTAGGGGCCATCTAGTCTGACCCCTGGCTCCAGTCGGCTCTGCTCAAAACTGGAAGCTTTAGTGTTTTATTAGAGGAATCTTCCAGTGTGGGGCTTGGACCCAGGTCATTTGTGCCTTAGATCAGGACTAATGGATTTCTAGATCTGACATGTAGCTTTTCTGCCACTCAAGGCAGCTTTTACAATTACAAAGAAAACTTGATTAGAAAAATGAGAAACATGTGCCATTAATCCTGCAGGACGGGATGAAAAGCTGAGAGGGCGTTCTCTGAAGGTAAGATGCTTTGTAGGACAATACAAGCCCACGGCAGCACGGGGCACCCTCGCTCCTATGCCCACCTGGCCAGTAGAGAAGGATTAAAGTCGCCCTCCAGGGCCACGATCCATGCAATAATTTCCAGTCGTGCCTTTCCAGTTCTCCTTCCATAACGGAAGAGATATGCACCGCACACAGAAAACTCCATAGCAGGATTCCTCTAAAAACCTGAGCACTGTTAGCATCCATCAGCCAGCCGCTGAGGCCATGTTTTCATGGGACAGAAAAGCCTTAATAACTTTTGAGCCTCTGCTCTTCAGCAAGCCTGGAGACTGTGCGTCAGCACTGCGTGCCTAGATTCAGCACTGTGTGCGTTCCCCAGAGAGGTCCACCTGGCACCATCGTTATTTGTTTTTTGGCGCCAGGCTAAGACCTTTTCATTTAAACAATATTTTAATAACGTTTAATATTACTATAGGTTTTAATTTGCAGCCGGAATGAATCGGGTTTTTAATTTGTATAATCCGTATTTTTTGTATTATATTTGTTTATTTATGCAAGCCGTCCCAAGGTGTTAAGAGATGGGACAGCATACAAAAACACTAAATAAATAAATCTGGGGAAGGAGTGGGGATGATAGGCCATGCCATGGCTTGGCGCAAACAGCCAATTATGGACTTTCGATATGTGCTGATTTGCTGTACTTGGGGCAATTTGTATCTGAACAATTTGAGATTTTGGCCAGTTCTCGACATCAGGGGGATGATGGGCTGCTCGGCGGAATAGCTCAGCAGATGCTGTTTTTACACACAGTAGAATCTGGGCTTATCATGAAAGGACTTTCTTTCTGAGTGGGAAGACTTAGCCAAAGGGCCAGTCAATTCACAGAGCAAATCAGACCAATGAAAAATCAATGGAATGGATATCCAAAGGGCAAGAAAGAAAGAAGGAAGGTCAACTTTCCGCAACATGTTGCCTCCGCTCGCTAGGAACCCGGGAAGTTGCCTTCCAGCCTTGGGAGGGTGCCCAACGGGAGAAAGCTGTTCTAAGCACTGTCTAAAAAAAGAAGCAATACGAAGAAGGAAAGAGTGGGACAGATTTACCTCTCACTGGACTCCTCGGGGTTTGGAAGACACCTGATTTGGTCACATCTGTCGTAGTCCCAGTCTCTGGAAACCATCCAAGGTGACTGGTCACACCTGGACTGGCCTTTCCCACGACACTTTCTGCAGGGGCTTCAGCCTCCATGGGTGGGTTCGTGGCCCGGACGGGATTCAGGCCGGTGGGGTGTGTGCCCGGCTCTTCCCCTTGCACGAGTGCTTGGCCGGACCACGCCTCGCCCCCTTTGCTTCCTTTCCCTGCAGGGGCTCCTAGCCCCAGAGGCAGCACCCTTTTCACATCATCTTCCTCTTCCTCCCTTCCCACAGGCAGAGAAAATTCCGTTACGGTCTGGTGCTGGTCCACCCCCATGGGCCACGCGGCCCCGGCCAGGCCAGCAGGATCCAGTTTTGTATCATCCCAGCTGTCCGTCTGTGGCAAAATGGCAGCCACCGCTGTGGTGGTGCAGGGGAGATCTTTCCACAGCCCCCGGTTGTTGGCGTTTTCCGCTTCCAAGCTGAAGGCAGAGTCAGCAGGAACTAAGGTCACAGACACGTCGGATCCCACCGAAATCAAGAGGCCGCCTCCGTGGGGCCCTCGCTCAGAACGGGCGGACGGCGCAACGGGGAGGGAAGGGTCAGTGGCCTGAAGATCGGCTACCGTACCAGGAAGACTTGCCACGCTTTCTTGCGTGGACGGCGGAGGGCTGCCCAAATGGCCCACGCTTCTCCCTCGGTCCTGGGAAGCTGGGGTCAAAACATCCCCCACAAGGTTCACGGGGGAAACCAGCCCTGCTCCACCACCGTCCCTGTCCCATGTCCCTGTCGTGGTGGTGCCCTGAGCGGCCCCCAAGGCATTAGGGTCTGGCGTGGTCGCAGCCGCAGCAAGCAGGGTCTCAGGGGGCCTGTTTCGATCCAGCTCTTTATTGGGCCCGCCGGGACCCCCGGGGGCCGCACTGGCATAAACACCTGAGCTCTGGGATCCCAAGCGGCTGTGGACGCCCAAGATGCTTTGCAGCGTCTCTTTAACGGTGGTGGTGGCATTTAATGATCTCTCCGAGGGCTCCGTCGCGGCATCGTGTGGGTTTTCGGCGGCTCTGTGCACAGGGGACGCGAGGCTCCTGTTGGCAATGCCTTCGCGGTCGTGCCCCGCAGGCCAGGCCTGCCGAAGCGGCCTTAGCTCCCTCGCCTCGGTGTTTTGAGAAGCGAGGCACTGCAGGCTGCTGGAGCTGAGCACAACAAGGCAGACAGGCAAGCACACCGACACCATCAGGCGGCTCATCTTGGAAGAGAAGTTTGCACGGAAACATGCAGAGCGAACGGTGACGGCACACGAGCCCTGGAAGCAAGAAATAAAATAGACCCCTCATTTCGGCTTCCTTCCAAATTAGCATTTTTAATTAAACTCTCGTTCTTAATTAAACTACCAGCTATGGCTCTCTTCTGAACATGTGAGAAGGTCAACATGCGGCCTTTACTCTGGATGGCGTCCATGGACGTATTCCTTCACCAAAGGAGCAACATGCCCTTTGCTAGAGATCAGCTGTGAGACTTAATAAGAGTCAGTTATGAGAATGCTCCTGGAATACCAGCTGTGTGCAGCCCAGTGCCAGGCAGGCTTACTTGTGAGTAAATCCAGCTGCGCTCTGTGGAACCCGCTCCCCACAACTGTGAACATGGTACTCCCAGGCATCCTGTCCCATTCACAGGATATTATGAAGGGTGGGGCCCAGACGTTCTCCTGTGCTTTCACCGTCTTTGTTAAAGGATAAAAGACAATTGCTATTGGTGGGTAGAAAAAGAGTGCCTTCCTCTGCGCTTGCTCTCTAATATAAGTGCCATCCCTGCTATGGTTTTCCCAGTTGCAATGTATGGCTGTGAAAGCTGGACCATAAGGAAGGCTGAGCGCCGAAGGATTGAGGCCTTTGAATTGTGGTGCTGGAGGAGACTCCTGCGAGTCCCTTGGACCACAAGGCCGGTCAGTCCTGGAGGAGATCAACCCTGGCTGCTCTTTGGAAGGCCAGATGCTGAAGATGAAACTCAAATCCTTTGGCCACCTAATGAGAAGGAAGGAGTCCCTGGAGAAGACCCTGATGCTGGGAGCGATAGATGGCAAAAGAAGGAGGGGAGGGCAGAGGATGAGGTGGCTGGAGGGGGTCACTGAAGCAGTTGGTGTGAGCTTAAGTGGACTCCAGGGGATGGTGGAGGACAGGAAGGCCTGGAGGGATGCTGTCCATGGGGTCATGAAGGGTCAGAAATGACTTGGCGACTAAGCAAACAAACAAATAATCCTCCTCCATCCCTAGGGTCAGTTCAAGGTGCTGATCTTAACCTTGAAAGCTTTAAACAGATTGTGCAATTGAGGGGTCATGGCCTGTATTGGGGCCCATGGCAGGTGGGCCAGAACTGGCCTCCCGGGGTACCTCCACGCACCCTTCTCCTGACCATGGACCTTCTGCCCCCATGCAAATATGAAGAAATGCACTTTGCGGGGAAATGCCAGCTTCAGATATCAGCTGATAGGATTTAAGCCAGCAGCGACTGGCCAAGAAAGAGATCTGGGATCTGCCCCCCATCTTTGGAACAACCACCCCGCTGGTGCCACCTGGCACCGAATTTGCCATCTTTTTAACACCAAGCTCAGACAGCCCTCTTTGCAGAGTTTAAAAACCTTTCAGGAGCCTGTTATGACTATCCAGGTGCCTTTCTTTTATGCTTGGCCAGGTCTTTTTATTGTCTTTATATGCTATTTGAAATAATAATGGGTAAAAATGGTCCAGGGGGCAGCAGCTGGGAAGAAGGCAAAATCTGTCTTAGGCAAACTCTGGATGCAAAAAAAATTCCTGTTTTCTCAAGGTAGGGCTGGGAAAGATTCCTGCCTGAATCTCTGGAAAGAAAGTGCTGCCAGTCCGTGTCGGCTATACTGGGCTAGGTGCGCCAAGACCCTAAGGAGCTCTCAGGAAACCAGTTAAAGACCTACATGCCCACCAATGTTTTTATGGTGTTTACATTTCATTATTTTAGCGATGCTGTTTTGAATTTCCAGCTGCTCCAATTCTTATCTAAATTGGGCATTTACATGTTTCTGGAAAGCAGGTGTGCAGTTTAGGATGCGATCTTTGGGTGGCAAAACAGCATATTAATATTCGCAATAATTAAAACAAAATAGGCTAAGTGTTGCATAAGTCCCTGAAACTTGGCTGGTTGGAGGCCCCTCCCTCGGAGGAAATGATCACCTCCAGTCTGTCCCCTCTGACATTGTTCCAAAATTCTGGGGATGGTTCCAGAGAAAGAGTTTCTCGCTTTCAGCAAGAAGGTTCTGTCTTTCTCTCCTTAGCAGATTTTTCAATGCTAGAAGAAAAGGTGGAAGGAGCACTATGAAAATGCAAGAGGGTTACAAGTGGAAGGAGAAAGCATAATCTAAGACCCTATAAAAGGCAGGGCTGTGAAGTGTACTGACCGTTAAAAAAAAAAAAGTTATCTTCCCAGGCAACTTATCCCTCCGTTCTAACGCAGAACCTCTGTCTACCTGAGCGCCACATTCCATTTTAGATAAAATCTTGGGGCCACACAGGACTGCACAAGAAAGCGAAGCCATGGGGTGCTGCCACCCCACAGGTCTGACTGGACTCAGTAATGGCCTCCTCATCTCTTTGAGGGCCCCAACCTGGTCGAAGTGAAACATGTTAGCCAAGGGTTCACTTCGGCCACATCTAATCTTCCTGAATGCACAGGCAAGGGTGGAATTAAGGCCCCGTTTGGAGAATTGTCCCTCCAAAGGTCTGGGTGGCCCTTGGCAAATGCCCAACTATGCTACACCCTGAACATAGAAACAGAGCGAGTCAGAAGGGGCCTCCCAGGCCATCTAGTCTGACCCCTGACTCCAGCCGGCTCCGCTTACAACATGCCCACCATGTGCGTGTCCAGCCTATCCTCGAACACCCTCACCGATGGGGCCTCAACAACCTCTTGAAGAAGCCCATTCCACACCCTCGGGGTCCTGACTGTCAGGAAGTGCTTCCTGGCATCCAAATTGAACCTTGGATCCCTGAGCTTTGCTCTGCTGGAGCGCATCCTGCCCTCCTCCTCAGGGGAGAACAGGTCTCTCCCCACCTCCGTGTGACACCCCCTCACATACCTGCATGTCGCCAACAGGTCCCCTCTGAGTCTCCTCTTCTCCAGGCTGAAAAGACCCATTCCCTCCGTCTCGCCTCCACACCTGTGAGCCATCTAGTCCAGCAAGTTACTCACAGGGTGGCAAACCAGCGGTTCACAGGACCCTTCAAGCAGGAGGGCTGCAAGAGTTCTGCCACCCAAGCTCCTCAGCAACTGGTACAGGGGAGCTGGAGTTGGCCCTCCATGAGCCAAACTGCTCTGAGGTCATAGAATTTCACATGTGTCAACTGCTCAGGGGGACCCATGTCTTGGGTCAGGTTTGGAATGTCAGTGATGCAGCGGCTCTGGGGAAGAGGAAAATCAGGTCAGGCTAGATGGCACGGGAGATCCCTTCTGACTCGCTCTGTTTCTATGTTTCTATGTCACTTTGGCTAACTTGGGAGAAAAAGGGATCGTGCAACGCCCAGGGGCAGGATGGACTGCGATTGAAGACAAGGTTGGGAGATGGGGAACGGGGCTACCATGCTTCTTCCACATCCCTCGATTGGAAGGACCAAACTGCTTTTGCTGAGATAAGATGCAGAAAAAGAGAAAGAGGGCGGACGTCCCCCTATCGATTTGAAATCATCCGAAATCTCTCCGCTCCCTAATAAGGAGAGCTTTAGGAATGTCAGCTCGTCTAGCAAATCTTCGTCCTTAGTGATTTCTAATTAGAAGAAGGTGGAGACGAGTATATTGTATAAATTAGCAGATCGATAATAGCCAGTGGCACATGTTCACCTTTCCTCTAGGAAGGCGGATCATTTCCACATGTCTCTGCCCTTTTTAGCATCTCCAGATTGCAAATGTTTAGTTATGGGGGGGGAGGGGGGCAGCAGGTGAGCCACCAACCCCTGTTCGTTGCCAGACACAAGGTTTGTTCCAGAGTATCCATATTCCAGAGCAGCGAGTTACGAACATAAGAAGGGCCACGCTGCATCAGCGCAGGGGCCCACGGAGTCCAGTTTTCAGCGAATCCAGTGACTCACCAGGAAACCCACAACCAGGACTTGCATGCAACAGCAGCAACTGGTTTACAGAGGCATTTAAATTTTAAAATCAATTTTAAGCTTTCTAACATGGTCGGTTTACCTTATTTGTATTGCATTTTATTGTTTGGCTTTCTACCTCAGTCGGTGTCAGCTGCTCAAAGAGCTTCAGCTACAGGGCAGTAGAGACATGAAATAAATAAAATAAAAATATGGCCTCTGAAACTGAAACTGGAGGTCACAGAGACCCATCCAGAGTGGGAGGGTGCACAGCCTTCTCCTCCTCCTTGAATCGGTCCAATTCCCTTTTAAAGAGATTCAAATGATTGGCCAGGACTTGGTCTTGTGGAAGCGAGTTCCACAGGTTAACTCTGCATTGTGTGAAAGTCCTTCCCACTTATGTCTGTCCTGAATCTTCTGCCAAGGAGTTTCATGGGATGGTGCAATGAGAGGACACTGCATGAATCAGTGCCGACATTTTGCTCAGTGGTAGGAGAGAGTCCAGGAGAAAAAAGCTAGGGAATAAAATATCCCTAGTGAACTGGCCCACAACTCTGCACCCATATATCCCTGCCCAGATCCTAAGATCACCCACTGAGGTCCTTTCCTGGGAGCACCCCCAAAAGATGCAAGGAACGTGGCTACTAAGGGAAGGGTCTATTCGGTTGTGGCACCCTAACTGCAGAACCCGCTCCCCAGAGAAGGGGGCCCGACACCAACTCTTTACACCTTTTGGCACAAGGCTAAAACCTTCTTATTTTCCCACTATTAAATTTTTCATGCTGCTTTATACTGGATTGTATTTATATTGTCACTGGGTCACTGTGGATTGTTTATTGTTCATGGTTTACTGGTTATTGCTTTATTTATTTATCTATGTATTTGTATTTAATAGGATTTAGATAGGGACTGGTGTCCTATATCATATTGATTGTATTGCTTATCATGTTGGAGTCTTTTTAGCTTTTATTGTAAACTGTTCAGAGAGCCATTTGGCTAACTGTGGATGGTATATAAGAGTTTTAATGAATTAATAAATAAACTCTTGGCTAGAGTCGATCATTTGGTCACATTTTCTCTTTCCTTTCCTCCAGGGACTACATCCAGGGGATTTTATAGTCATGGGAACATCAGGAGCAGCTGTAGGCACAAGAGTTCCATCAAGGTTCATTGCCCACACCAGCCTCCTCCATTT